AAAAAAATGTAAATTATTATTTACCTATCTGGTGTAAATTTCCAGGCACTAAGTTCATTCTGAGTGTCCTCTAATTTAGCTTTAGTTGTAACAAGTTCTTGCCTTAATTTTTGAATTAAAATATTAACAGCTGGATCTAATAAAGCAGATCTTAATGCCACAGCGGACGGAGCATGAGCAGCTTTCATTTCAGCAATCTGACTCTAAAAAAGAAAAAGAAAGAAGAAGAATTATATATTATAAAATTTTTTGATCTTCTATATCTTTTTTGCTAAAAAGTGTAAAATCTACATACAATATATTCTTGTAACTCTTGTTCTTTTGAAGCAAGTCTTCTGACTAAAATCTTCTCTCTATGAGATGCTTCTGCATGTTGCTGTCTATATTTGCTTTCGGAGTCCCTCAATGAAGATAGCTCACCTACAAAAAAATTTGTATCATTTCTTTTTTCAATTCCTTCATTGTTTAAAGCTATCTATGTGTATCATCAATTTCTTTTAATTTCTTTATATAATTATTGTAAAATTAAACAGAACATGACAATAAAGTATAAATATATACAATTTGTATTATTTTTTAAAAAATTATAATTTTTAAAATTCTATTTTAAGCATTAAAAATTAATATAAAATCATTAGAAAATTCATTAATTGATAATTGATAATTCAAATTGAAGATATAACATAAAAAAATACTGAATTTCCATATTTTTTATAATTTTACTTATGTTTACATTGTATTCACATATTTTATATAAAATTATATTTTTATAATTAAATTTAGGATATAATAATATTTTCTTAATTATTTTTTCCATCTTTAGTAATATTATTTAAATGATATTGAATCATATAAATTTATGAGACACATAGAGAGCTTAAAACCTTAAAATACATATGCATATATTATAATGGTACAGAGTATTCTGTACAATCTTTTTTGATATTTCATAACTGTATATTTTTGGTGAAAGAAAGCATAGTGGTGAAAATCTACTACATACTGTTTTGCCCTAAGTGCGCATAAACAAAATATGTTTTCATATGTATGTGACATTGATTGCCTGACAACTGACATTTTTAATTAGCGCATACTTTGAGTTTGGAGTCGTTGCATCGTGCCATTTGTGAGATTCTCTGTGCTTCCACCGAGACCAAGAGTGGACGTTATTTTTCTTCCATGAAAATAGATAGACTACTTGTTGCAGACACAGATGTTGTCACAAGATGACCTCCTGGCCTTATTTGATCAGGTTTGTATTTTTTGAGAGATTGGTACTTGGACATCAGGAAGTTATGGTGCAGGTACAAATGCATGCATGAATTGCGTTCATAATGGGAATAAACAGGAATGGATGTCTAGGAAGATAATTAAAATTGTTCAGATTTATCAGACATGTCTATATATAAGATGATGTTAAATATTGTATATTGGGATAAGAATTGTTAGGATTGGAAAAAAGCAGCTGGAATTTCAGATCATAACTGCATCAATTAAAGGTTTCGTACTTCACCAAGACTTAGATTCACGCACCCCTGGCAAAGAGTTTTGTGAGCCAAAGGATGACATGGGGCCTTTGTTTTTACTCTTCTGAGTGGTATATTCAGAGCCAGCAAGGATGTTGTATTTCATTCAATCCTCGCAAAGTGGAAACTCGATATCCAATGTACACACAAACACACACGCACTTTCTTGGCTTCTGGCAGTGTGTTTTACTACACTGTAGATTTATACGTGGCACACTGCACGGTCACTTAAAAGCTCATATTGAAAATAAGTTGTGCGTGTTTATTACAGTGAAAGAAATGATTCATAATGAACACATTAAAAAAAAACCTTCTCATTTCTTCTTGTCACACAATATCACTTTTTTCAATATACACTTTGCTTTTAGCAGTGAGTGATTTTTAATATCAATAGTAGCGCAATTTAACACTAGATAGTAAAATTATGCATTTTTGCATAATATTATATTAAATCTTTTTGTATATGCAGTGTATATGACCGCCACATCACTTCTGCTCACCAAAAAAATTTGAAACACTGTACATATTGGTATCAATTTAATTTCCCGCACTACACATCACAAATGTAGTTTTCAAAATATTACAATATTACTATATCACTAGCCTTATCTAAAATATATTTCCAATTGATCTAATCAATGTTCTATACAGATACATAAATTTTCTACAATTGTAATTTGCTTATCGATGTCATAAAAGATATTGTTAAGAATTTCATCTATATTATTATGATACTTATTTACTCAAAGTTTTTTCAATTTTAGGATTTACAACTTATCATTATTATTATCCAAAACACAGTACTAATATGTTTGATCCCTAATCTTAGCGTCCCTATAAGAGTCTTGTCTCATACAAGAGACTGTTGTGTTCTGGCATTCATAAATTCGCTTAAGAAATGTGGTGAGTGAGTTGGTCTCACTCAAGTGATCTCAGTACCTTCCTGAGCTGCCGCCTGGGCCTCTAGACACTCCACATATATGTCCTGTTCATGCCACTTGGCTGCTAGCTCGTCCTTTGTCATGCTGTCCAATTGTTGTTGTGTTAGCTTCACACGCCTTGGTTGTCTAGGAGAATGAGGACTGCTTGGTTTCCCTCCCGTACTAGCGTTCTGAGGACTTCTTGGTGAGGATGGGCCGGCAGATTTAACATCACTGCACTCCTCTGCCATTTTATTTGAGGTGTTATTAAAACCACACCTAGGTCCTTAAGTAAATTTTGAAGTCCGCACACGTCTTCTTGTTTAACTTTTTAACTGCAACAAGTGCCTTGATGATGTGCTATCAGTGCTAGCATACATTTGTCTGAAAAGAATAAAGATATTTTTTCAATGTAGTGTATATTATATTAATATAAATAAATTAAATTTTTGTAATGTACTGCAATTTCATTACTTAGATTTATCTCGATAGATTATTTCATAGACTTATATCTTAATGATAATAATAATATATTAATATAAGCTGACTATTATATATTTCGTTATTTATAATATAATATTAATAAATAATATATAGTAGATTTTTCAATTATAACTTTTTCAGTATTTTATAGTATTCTAGAATATATTCTCATAATTAAGGTTAGATATGTAATTATAATGCATTAATAGCGAAATAAAGTACAAATATTTTATTCTACATAATAAATAATTTACAGAATTATATTTATAAACTCTCCAAATTATAATTTGAAATTTGTTTTGAAACAGTATATTAATATTAATATCGTGAAGATTTGTACGCACGAGTACGAAGTTACTATGTATTGTTGGAGCTCATATTGTAAACTTGTACAACGGTACACTATACACATTATTTACTACTTCATTTTCATAGATAGATATTATATATACTTGCTATGTACTAGAATAAAACTTTTTTAGAGCGCAGGTTCAGACCCGGCTTTTAGAACATACCGCGTGATTGAAGAAGATCACGTGGCACGTTTAATGTTTTATTGCAACATGCAAGGTAGGGAATGTAGGATCCAGTTATCTATAGTCGAAAAGAACATTGACGCCATTATGTCGACATGTCTGCCATGAACGAGAATTTCGCGATATAGGATCAAAAATTGTTTATTTGTATTCTTTCGAACATCATCGAAATTACTTACATGTATGAATTATGAAGTAGATTTAAAAATATGTCTGTAAAACAGTGCACTTATAGTCATACAGCCGTCCAGATGTTTAATTCAACTTCAACAACACTTTCCAAACATAGATCGTCGCGATCTATTACTATGTAATATCTAAGAATATAATTTCTGCTCTCTTCACATACCTGATATAGTGACACGCCTATCGTTCCATTGAAAAATGTTTGTATCCAGTATTCGATATAACATGAAACGATGAAACACGACACTATGTATGTGTATACCCACACATGTATGTACATACATACGTATGTAAATATATATATATAATGTGTGCTGTATATATATATATGTATGTATATGTATGTAGGTATATGTATACAAATGTAATTTCGTAGCCTGTTATAAGTAGAAGCTTTTGTTAGATTTCTCAATTGATCAATTGACAAAAAGAGTAAACGTTATATACGGGGTTTGCCTGGGTGTCCCGTGCATTCCAAATATGACATCAATATACGCACATAATATACGTATCGTATAAATTGTCAGAAACCATATCACTACAGCCTAACACAGTAATATAACTAATCACGAACAATGATTACTGCCGACATTACATTCAGAGTGACTAAAGAAACGAATATCAGCGCATGCTCCAATCACAATTGTCCAACTACAATGCTGTCATAGAAATGTACCAAACGTTTTTTGTATATAGACAATGTAGAAAATGCCGAAATAAAAGAAAGAAAAAACAATATTTCAAAAAATCACCACCGGTCGAATATTCAACTTCTTTATACGTTTCCTGCAACTTTATTTACTGCTGATCTTATAGTTTACTAACTTACGTCGAGTATTGCGATATGTAAAATATCTAGTACATATATTTCAAATATCGAATTATAAACTTCTGCACTGACAATGAGTACATTATTGTGAAGTTCTAACTGATCTAAAACATTTCAAGATGGCATGGAGAGCCCGCCATTTTCAAAACATAATGATACAAACTTCACATAGCTGTATGGTTTCTTCTTTAGAAATGATGTACTTACACTAATTTGTTTGAAACAACAATATATATTCTTTTAAGTATTACAAAATAATTAAATACTCCAGTAATAAAACATCCGAGTAAATCTTCCATTAAAATGATAATAATAAATGATGATAAAAATAACAATTTATTCTTTTGAAAGGCCAACTCTTGAATTTTTCTTTATTCCTGGATTTATCTTTGTAGATTTCGTTGTTTTTGCTATTTTTGAAATTTTTGTAGGTGATTTAAGCATTGAGATACGACTACTTGTACTTTTAAGTGTTTCCAAATTTGACGAAGCTTGTTCAGGAGATGCAAGCTTTTTTGTTTTCAATAAATCTCTACAATTGTAAAATTAATTTAATTCAAATATTTACATATATAATATTAATAAATAAGATTCAGTTATACCTGCTCGATAAATCAGAATTAATCGTGAGATTTGCTTTACTCGTGCTGTATTTTCTACTTGATGAAAATTTTTGTCCTACATCCGAAGATTTTAGCAACGAGGTATTAGAAGTAGCAGGTGAAGAACTGTAAAAGCTTCTACGACGAAGCGTGGATTTTACATTCTCTTGATCAGAATTTACGTTTCTCCGTGTCGTAGATTTAGAAAGCATTGGTTCAATACTACGTCGCACTCTCGGTGTTATCGTTGGATTTTTTTTCGCTTGCGTCTGTTGCTCGCGCGTCAAACAACTTAATTTTGATGACGATTTGATAGTTGTAACTGTATTTGATCGAATTGGCTTGTGGCAAAGACTGACAATGACAGCAGGAGGTATATTCGCCGGTGCTGACCTTACAGACGCGCCATCATTATCTAATACGATGATAAATTTATTAATAATTTCTAATGGAATGTTATCCTTTCAAATAATATTTATATAAGATAATATCTAAATATAAGATAATCACCTTGAATAGGTGAAATGTCATTCAAAATTTTTGGTTTCTCGACCAACAACACTTCAAGAGCCTTTTCTAAATTTTGATGTGCACCTAAGATATATTCAGTTATATTTCTGAGATTATTACTCATGGTTACACTTTGTAGGGAAATTTTTCCTGCAAGAGTGGATAATTCAGAAAGCACAGTAGGAGAACTCGCTAGCTTTGGAGATGATGGCCGTGGTTCACTATCTAAACTTTCGGTTTCGATATCCCACGTTTTCTGACGTTCTAAAGTAGGTTTAGGCGATTGTATCGGGGATGTAACATGACTTATAAATGGATTGGAATTTATACTTTTCCTTCTTTTCTTAGGAGCGCACTAACAATGAGTAAACAAATTAATTAAAAATATATGAAAAATAAAAATACAAATATAAAAAAATATTAATATTATGAATGATATACTTACTTCTAAAGTCATATCATCTGTACGAAGACACATTTCCGGTTGTGTATGACTTCGCGTAACACTAATTTTTTTTGTAACTTTACGTTCACAAAAAATATTATTTGCTTGTGAAGCGTTTAAAATGTCTGTATTACGATTGACATTCGGATCGCATACAATTATGTCGAATAATTTATGTGATACATCGCGCAATAGTTGAACAACGTCTTTTGATAAACGGGGTAATAGGGTACTACCAGTTTCTTCGACTTTTTGTGAAATATTATCCTGCAAATAAATGGAATGTTAAATGGAATCTTTTATTATTAAAATCTTGTTGATTTTTATTGGAAATATACAATTGACCAGTCAGAAAAATATTCGAATATTGAGTACTCTTTTATTATTCGAATTAACGCTATATATATATTTGATATATTAAATATTAAATTCTATTCTCAGAAATATTAAATTCTATAATGTATATTTATAATCTTATAATCTGCAAAGTTATACATTATACATTGTAAGTTATACATTATTTTATTATTTGAAGCTATTTATGTACATAAGACATTTACGTTACTTATAATTTCAATTCTTGTGCGCATTCTGATGTGTTTAATGTTCTAAACATTAATACAAAAGTTTACGCATTTTTGCACAAATATTTTTCTTATAATAATTATAATAAAAGTATTAACAGAAATTACGAAAGAAATTGTTAATTTTTACGTACGGTACTTCCAACAGGTCCGGTGCCACTAATACTCCAAAAAGATGCGTCTTTAATGTGATCAGGATTAGGACATTTACATGCAATTCCTCCTAATTCTAACACTGCTCTCATGTTAGAAATATTACATTCGATAGCAACTCTGAGAACTCCTTGCTCAGGTGTTTCGATCTTATCATTCTTTCCCGAGACAAGTGGATCATTGTACTTTTCAAACGAAAGCAGTTTAAATCCAATCGCTTGTAGAAAGCTGGCTAACGTTGGTACGTCTGGCTTCGTTGAATATCGAATATCGCGCATTTCATCATTGTCCCAGTCAATTTGCGCATGTATGCCGGTTATCCATTTGAGTACCCACTGATAAAACTTTCGTTGTGCACTGGAAGCATTTTGATTGCTAGAAACAGACGTGCCGATGTCCATCCCGAAGAACTTGTGGCATGAAACTGAGTGGCATGTGAAATAAACATTCTTGAATTTGTGTTCAAATTTTTTTTCTACTGGTAACCGAAATTATTAGTAATGAAGTTACATGTATACTGGTTTATTTGTATAATAACAGTCCTTATTATTGGATTATAAACATTCAAAATGTCACGGATAAATGAAAACATTTGTCTATAAATTTGATCTTAATGCAAAGATCTTTTTTACTATTTTTTTTTTCTCAAATTGTATATGTATATTTACATGATATACATTTCTTGCAAATAGCATATAAACAGAATGTTGAATTTCAGTTTAACCATTTAATAGTATATAAAGAATATTATGTTGAAGTTGTATAAATATTTATTTAATGCATATAATGTTTGTTCAATGATGTATTAGAATAATTGTATAATATTTTACATTTTTATTTCTAATAATGTAATAAAAGCTAAAGAGAAGATCTATCATATTCTTACATAATTATTTTGTACATTTTGTTCTTACAAAATATGGATATTATTTAATAATTAATTCAAATCGTATTTGAATTCTTTTATTTGACGTCAAAAGTTGTATTGATTTTATTGTCCTAATTCACATTGTCATAATTTTAGCAATTGCTTATTTATTATATTAAATAGTTTTAGGTTATAGTTAAATATAAATAAAAATAAGTAAAAAATTATGTTTAATTCTCTAATCTATAGGTAAATAACAGTTAGTATGAATAATAATTTATGGATTGTTATATATATATAAAATATTTTGATCGAAATATTTATAGATATATATGAAATATTTATAGAATCAATATATATGCAATAATTTTTTCAAATTGTGAATAATAAATTAATGTTCTTTCGCTGATTTTATAAATTTATTTGACTTGTTCTATTGTTTTATTGTAAATCATTATTTATTTCACTTTTTTTATTTTAGAATTTATAAAAAAGCAGTTGTTTTATAATGGGGATCTTAAGGCCTATTGTAGTGATTATTGGTGCAAGTACACAATTATTGCCACATACTTATTGTCTGGAACGATATAGAAAATTTAGAGCTAGATATGAGTAAGTAAAGAAATATAAGCAAATATTAATTATTTTATAATTAATATTTTGATTGTAATTTTATCAAATTTTGTAGCTTTCAAAATAATGAAATACCAGTTCGAAAAGATATTCAACGAAGATTTGAAGAAGTAATAGATGATATAAATTTATTACAACCATTAAAGATAGAAAAAGAACGTATTAAGCTTTTTAATGTTCATGATATAGAAGTATTTCATGCTGGATCATTATATACAAAATCTGGTGGGGTAGTTGGTATCCCAGCAAATTTTGAATATGAAAATATTGACAGCATAGCTGCTGAAACCATATCCATTCAGTCTGCATCATTTAACTGGGATTTAGAAGCGATTGAGGAATTTCACAACTCTTTAATACTTTCAGAAAATGCCCAAAAATTTGCTATGGCTCAAGAAATTTTAAAAGTTGCAACACTTGATCCAATATATAAATTTTGCAATGTACTTATAGATATGACACTAGCAATTGCAGGTTATGACCTACTTATTTCAAAATTAAATGGCACTAAACAACGAAAAGGTATACAAGTTTTCTGTACAACTATTACTGCAATTGGAACTTTCTTTCTTACCGCAATGAGTCATTCTGCATTGGAAAGATATAGAAAAACAGAAGTCAATGAAATAATATCTAAGCTTGGTAGTAAATATATTCAAGGTGGTGTGGAATATTATGAAAAATTATCACAAAAGAACAAAGCCTTAAGAGTATTATTGGGAACAAGAGGTACATATTTATATACATCTACAGGAAATCAAACTAATTTGTTTGGAATTTCAACAAAACTTTCAAATTCTGAACAAATAAATTACTTTCAAACAAAATTGCAGGATATCTCATCACAATTAGTGTAGTAATCTATTTTTCAAATATTCTGTATAGAAAATAGTGATAATAAAATTGATGCTTTCTAAATTGATTTTATTTATTAATACATATTAATTACACAATTTATGTACAATGAAAATATTATTTTTAAAGATACTTATCTATATGAAATGAAGTTAAATGTTTCAAGTTAAATATATTCACAAAATATATAATTTTGATAATTTTACATTTTGTTATATAAAAAAATTACAAGAAAGTAAATATATCTTCGATAATTTTATAACAATAAGTTTTTATTCTACTAATAAATTTATAAACGGTTATAAAAGTTGATAAATAGTAGCTTGCTTGTAGATCAACAGTTCGTAAAAATGTTTGGACACTCCATAAAAATTTGTCGATATTTTAAACGACTATAACAGTGAAAAATATTCATATATAACAATTCATCACTTAGGCTCATTTTAAAACGTATTTTGACAGTGAGTTTGAGTTCAATTATTTTAAAAGTGCATTATGTATACATATAGTAAAATGGGGATAGTTTTCTTTAAAAATTATAAAAATTCAAACATTTGTAAAAACACTGAAAATTTTTTTTCTAGTTAAATTTTTGTATAATTATATACATCAAATTTTGGAGATTGATTTTTCTTTTTTACAACGACTTTTTTAACTTTAACGACTTTAAAACTTGCCGTACGATCTTCTTTTTTGCTATTTTATAGAATTTTGAATATTGGAATTATGCAATGAAAATTCGATGAAATATTAGGATTTTTAAAATTGTTGTCGTTTAACATTCAAAATTCAATAAAATAGTGAAAAAAATTGTACAGCGAGTTTGAAGAAATAGTAAAAGAAAAACTTCAATTTTCCAGACTGGATGGAGTTATAAAAAAATAACAAGACTGCTAAAGTAAAAACATTACATTTTAAAATGAGTCCAAGTAGATTATTTTTTTTTTTTTTTTACAAAATTATAACAGTTTAAAATACAGACAGATTTTCATCCAAATATTTTTGCGACCGGTGTGTGTGTGTGTGTGTGTGTGT